CACATGAACCCTTTGGTTGGAAAGGGATATCATATACTGGAGAAGCCAAAATGGGTAGAAACTCATTTTACCCTGCACTTCTCACTTCAAGAAAGATGCTTTAATTTACCAGACAAAACAACATATAAAGAATTTTTAATATGGAGAGAGGTAAGGAAAGGTACAGAGACAAAAGATAAGAGGCAAGCAACACAATAATATCAAGACTCCATCACATTCTACTTGTGTGCACAGCAATACCATTGTTGATGTTAATGACACCATCTAAGAACAAATGCAATGGGGTAATATTTATGAAGACAGTGTTGGGTCATAAATTGGTTATTCATTTGCTGCCTTGTTTCTTATTTTCCTGCCCATATTTCAAGTTGATTCTGCTAGCCCCTCTAACATATTTTCTGTAAGTAAATGTCCATTTAAGAAAATAATTTCTTAATGGAATCTTAACATTGTGTTTAGCAAAACAGGCAAAATACTTGCCATAAAACTAATGAACAGACCAATCTTAAAAATTAGGGCAAAATGAAAAGCAGAGTTTTGACAATATAAGAGAGAGAGAAGATACACAAGAAAAACAAAGTATAGTACCACGTACAAAAATCAATGCCCTATACAAAAGGAATTAATAGAATCATTTGATTGTAAAACTAAGAAATTTCAGTGAATTTATGAAAACAGTTTCTGTTACTTAATAAAATTAAGATCAGAGGATAATTGAGAATATATCGGAAACAGCATAACATTGAAGAGATAGAAGAGTATGCCATGTGACACAAAGAAGAGTTGATTATATTGTGTTTAGCCAAGCATTATTTGTATCTTAAAAAGTTTTGAAAGAAATAAGGCAGGAAAGAAGGAAAAAATTATAAGAAAATTTGTGAAATGGAAATTTGATTTAGGTGAAAGCACTTGAGAGGTTGGAAGAAAATAAACAGAATAGCGTAACTACATTTATATAAATTAGCATAGAAAAGTCAAAGACAGAGAACAGGTATCCAAGCAAGACTGAGCTGAGAGAAAGAAAGAGACTCTGAGGTATGGATGCGAAAGTTATTTGCTAATCTTGAATTTATTAAAAGTTTTCTATCATGGGGTCAGTTTATATTCTTCAAATTGGAGCATTTTTTTTCACATGGGATTTCAGTACAATGTAGACACCTGATTTAAAATGTTGTAAAACAAGTTTTTCATAAATGCATTGACATTTCCTCATTTTTTCTGCATTTAAATGCTCCACTTTCTTTAAATATAGAGATGATATGAGAACTATAGTTTTGACCCTTAGTAATATTATATACTGGTGATTTAAGAATAGTACTTTATGGTACTATCATAGTACCCTCATCACCAAAAACAAAATACTTACTATATGAAATGAAGAATGTTGATTTGATTTTCTACATTAGTTCTTTGATTATGAACATGCATGTCAAGGCATCATGTGCTGCACCTAAATTCATACAATAAAAATTCTGTGTATTTTAATTATTTTGCTAGAGAAATAAACTTTCTGGAAATTACATATATGATTTTATATGTATTTATATGATTTTATACTCTTCTGACTCATTTCATCACTCTGGATATTAAAAGGTGGGCAGTGAAGCAGACACATGTCCCTTGGTTACTGGGTAAGTGATCAGCAGGAATAAAATTGTGAACTTGTCAGATTTGTAGAGGGAACCTTTAGCTAAATATATTATTAATCTATTAGGTACTAACAGTAGAAATACCACAGAAGTCATTGGAGTGGTGTGGCTGGAGGCATATAATGGGTAATCTGTACCTGAGCAAATGTACACAAAGAAAAGAGATGCAGACAAAATGGTGAAGAAATGTTATTAAAGGGTTTGGTAACTAGAATGTGGACAGATGTCATTTATTACAAGGCTGCCTCTGAACCTTTATTTGCTTGGCAAAGGCTACTATTAACTTGAGAATCAAAAAAGGAAAAAACTTTCTATATCATGCCTTATGCACTTAGAGTTAGGGCTTTTATCTAGATTTGTACAATACAACCCACATTATAGGACTTCCACAATGGAGACATGTAGAGAAATTTATAGAGACAAAAATGGAAAGGTTCCAAAGGCAATAATATCAAGATTCCAGCAAATACAACCCATCTCCTCACAATAGCATCGGTAGTGTGAGTGCTGACATCTAAGGCCAGTAGCAGTAATAGCAATCTGTATTATAACACTGAGTCCTAATTTGGCTGCTCATGGGTGCCTTGTTTTCTTATTGTCTACCCATTTCAAACTGATAACTGTAATCTCTCTAGAAGTTTTTACTTTGAGCCAATTTCCATTTGAGAAACCCAACTACTGTTGGTATCCAAAGCATTGGACAGAACAAAAGTGAGGCAAGATATAAGACAAAAAGTCATGAGTAGCATGACCCCCAAACAGAAGGAAAAAAAAAAAAAAAGCAGGGTCTTGTGGACATAAAGAGAAAATGTGTACTCCAGTAACACACAAAGTAAAGAATAAGACCCAGTACCAAAACAAATGTTCTAATGTGGAATTAGTAAAATTATTGGATTGTAGAAATGAAGAAATATTTAGTGACTTCACTAGCAGGAGTTTCTGTTTTGTAAAAAAAATTAAGATAAGAGAACATTTGAAAGTATATAGGCAACAAGTACCATAAAATAAAAGAATGAAAGAGGATACTCCTTGTTATAAAAATGTTCGGGATTTTCCTATTGTGTGTAAGCAAATGTAACCCAAAATTCCTGCAGAGCACTTTAATAAAAGTTTTAAAATGAAGAAGACAGGAATAAATAGGGAAGAAAACAGTACAGAAGAAGTTCGAAGTGAATTTTGGGTGAGTAAACAAAAGTAAGACAGAAAAAGAATAAAGAAGACATCAATGTAGATAAGCATAAAAAATGAGACATGAGAATGTTTTTTTTATAGTGATGTAACCAAGCTCATCATCTCACAAGGTTTCTGCCTGAATCATAGGCTTTTAATGTCCCTTTCTAGATCACAGTGTTTTAGTGATTTTTCAGTTTCTACTTTTAAGGACATCAGTATTTTGCAGCAAATGTTGTAATCTGAATACAAAATGTGCTTCATCCAATCTAAAAAAAGAAAGAATCAAAAAAGGAATAGCTTGCACCCTAAAACAGGAACTTTATAAACAAAAGCTCCAAAATTATACATTGAGCATATTTTTATTAGGAATGAAAATCTTTCCATGAAATCCTAAATTACAACATAGTTAAAAATAATCACATTCAGTTGTGTGTGGGCACTGATTAATGCATAAATGCTGGAGAGAGCAATGTTAGAGCACTTTGTCATATTTTAAATCTGCATAAAATAACATAACCATGAAAAGTGGGTGAAAGGTCTGCAAGTATTTAAATGATATCTTAAAATGTTATGTCTCATAAAATACATTTATACAGTTCAGAAATATTTCTTCTGTAAAATCATTATGCCAGGAATACATCAACCTAGGATTAAATCATTTAAGTTAAAGATCACCATATAAATTCATTAAATCTCAAAATCCTCTCAAGCAATATTGTTTATCAATTTTTCACAAAAATAAAATAATACAATGCACTATTTAAAAGTTTCATCTGGATCTTTTTTTTTTTTTGATCTTTTGGTATCTTGTACACCCCATTTAAATTATTGAAAAATAACACAATTTTAAACTTTTGAAATAATAAGTTTAAAGATTATTTTTAGCTTACCTATATATTGAAAAAAAACATTGGAGATCTGTGAATAGTATGAGTCCTTACAAAACAGAAAAACTACAATAATTCAAACTCTACAATAAAAATTAGTTTCATTTCTCACTCTTAGGAAAGGCAGTTTATATAAAATGTTTTTTGCTTTTAATACAGGTGTCAACCACTTATATCACTGTTTTTTCACAGATAGAAGAAATATAGAACTGAAATTCTCCTAAGAGTACCAGAGCATTCCCAGAGGGAAAAACTGAAGTTATTCTACTGAGCTCTGTAAATATGGACCTGAACAAGAAGTCTAGGTTTTCCCCAGTCATCACAGACTTCTGGAATCATAAACATCAAGTTATCATACATATTTCCATTTTAAGAACTAACATTGCATTGTCACTCAATATTGTCCATCTCAAGGATAATTCATGTTTAATTATAGGAACCAGAGTGCATCAAAAATGTACTGTTGTGAAGGCTTTGATTGGTATGGTTCTGTCTCAGCTAATCAAAGCATGTTGTGAAACTGAAGATACAGGCTGCTTCCTGAAACTGACTCAAAGTATATCTGTGTTCCTCATAAAGAAATCTTCTCAAGCCCAGATAAATACATAGCTTTTCCATTTTAAAATTAAACTTGATGAGAAGAACTACTAGTTTAATATTAGAAGGAGTAGCTAAAGAAAAGCAAAGACATTTCAAGGGACAGTGATCAATATCTATCCTTCTCAAACACAATGCCCAACAATGACCTAGAGATTTTCTTAAAATGCATGTTTCTTTCAGTAGCTCTGAGACCGAGTTCTGGAGTCTTACTATGTAAACATTTGATACATGTTGACCCACCACATAGCATCCTGATCATTGAAGGACTTAGATTACAAGAGAGTCTTGATGTTACAGAAGACAACAATTACAAACATGACTCACCTGCAGAATCAGAAGTGAAAGAAGTTAGATGGCAACACAGGGAATCAGCATTTAGGATCATAGAAAGCATGGGAAGCCAGGTAAACACCTTTTTCTCTTCCCCAAATTGAATAAAAACTAAATAGGACTGTAAACATAGTAGTAAAATACTCAAATATACTCAAATTTCCTTTTCATTGTAAACAAAAAGACTTATGAATAAACATTCATTTAGAAAAATAAAACTCAATATACACACTATGGAATTGATATTAGATATATGAAGACTGATATATAATCATCTCCATAGTAAAACGTTTTTATTAAATAAAATATTTAACCTCCTTTCATCTCATGAATTAAAAAGGGGAAAAAGTCATGCAAGATGTTGTCACAAAATACAGTATTTCATTAAACTTACAACTTACAGTCAAAATACAGTTTCTTCTCAAAATGGTCTCTTTTGCTAGTGACACATTCATGCAGTCATCATTACTCTTTCTAAAACTGTTCTGAAAGTTTTCTTCTGTGAGTGTCTCTAGGAGATGTGATCAAACACATAGTTATATTCACTATAGTGCATACTGCTTTTAAGGGCAGTTGAACAGAAAAGCAGGTTCATAAAAAATACAGCGCGTCCTCATTCTTCACTCGAGCTGACACTATGTAACTTTTGGTTCTTCCTTAAAATCCAAGGAACTATGAAAAAGAAATGAATTGATTCTTAACATTCAGACAACCATGAAAGCACAAATAATAACACTATATTTTTCATTAATCAATCGCATTGATTGCTTGGAGTTTTCCTAGTGAGAAAAAATTGTGTATAGAGAAATATAACACAGATGAAAGAGAAGTTATTGTAAAAACTCTGAAAAATATGGACTAAGTAACCCAATATGCAGGGATATCTCTTACCATGTTTGGAAGTTGACTTATATTGACCACCTTCTTAATTTTTGGTATAATTTTTTCTTAATTCATTTTATTATCTGTTAGACTGAAAGTGTTCTTCACTGAAGCTTCCAGTACAAGTAGTTTTTTTTCATTTTTGATCATCTGAATAAATAAGTTGTGACCATACACTGTGATTTTATTTACATTTTACTGATGATTAAAGCAGCCTGTTATTTTTGTGTTCTCATTTGTTACGTACATATATTCATCTTCAAAATATCTGCCCAGGTCTTTTGTTCATTGGTCTCTGTATGTGGTGCTAAAGATCAAGTTAATGACCCTGTGAATGCTAAAGTACCACTAAGCTATATTCCCAAGCACTTTTGCCCATTTTCTTATTGGGCTATTTCTAATTATGAACCGTTAAATTTGTTCCATCTGTGTTGGATACATGATTTGCAAATACTTTCTCAAGGATATGGATCATTGCTTCCTGAAGCAGCACACTGGTCCATTACATTGGTGACATGTGCTGATTCGACCTACTGAACAAGTAGCAGCAATTGTATTTAATTTATTAGTAATACTGTTGAAGAAAAAGAAAGGAATAAATCATACAAAAGTCTACTACTTTTTTTACCTAAGTGAAATTTCGAAGAGTTAGTGAAACTGGACATTTTCACCGTATCACTTACAAGGTAAAATATAAGGGCCTCTCATAAAACCAAAAACAAAACACAAAGTCTAATAAATTCTGTTGTTTCATTTGGAGACCATATATAAAGAATATGCTCATTTGAATGTGTTGTGATGCATTTGCCAAGTGTCCAAATAATTTCTACTTCTGAGTGCAATACGCATAAGACAAGGCTGTGCAGCAGGTTTTTTTCTGCAAACTGATGTCATAGAACTCAGCATCCAGTAATGCTTCAACTCACAGTGCCATGTAAAATTTGAATGGAAGCCTTTTGCAGGGCTATATGGGTGATTTGAATGGTAGGTCCTTAGAATTTTCTAGAAAACATCTTATATCCTAAGCATATCTCCATTACCTTTTTGAGAAAATAGATGCTGGCATGCTAATGGTATTTAGTGGATGCTAAATGATTAATCATGGACCCATGTTACAATGTGTCCTGAGTTTTCTATATGAAATGGATGCTATAAATTTGGACATGCACAGTAGCATTTCATCAGTAAATGGAATTGTTTACACGTTAGACTTAACATGTCTTGGTGGGACATGTACATTTTTTGAAATATCCCAGTTTTCAAAATTTCTGCTTTTTTAATGGTGCTGTCTTATCTTTCTCATCCTTGACTTACAGTTGCAAGGGATTGGGGATTTATTTGATCAACCAACTGTGAAAGAAAAGACAACCAAGATTAGAAAACATGGGGCGAGATTTGCCGGCACCACTCTTAACCAAAATGCTATAGGACTGATACTCCTTTATGAGCAAACCTAAAACAAGTATCCTACTGAAATTCTTTCAATAAGTAGAACCTCAAGCTGTACACTTCCATGTCCCTGTAAAGACAAATGAGGAGCTGTGCAATTTTTTATACCATTGTTTGCTGCAGCCAATTATTTGGCTGCAATAGTAAGGGCTTGAAAGACACAGGGTTGAAAAAATGGTGTAGGAAATCTTACAGGAATGTATGAGAGGTAGACCTAACGAGTTTTTGTAATAAAGTATTGGAGTATGAGCATTTATTTGCTCTTTTTAAAAAATAACTTGGGTTTTTCATATAAAAGAAACTTTGACATATTCAAGATTGTATATCTGATTTATTTCAACTAACATTATGATCTTGAGGTGCATTACTCTTTTAACATAAAAATTCTGCCATTACCCCTGTATATTTTAATGTTTCTAAACATTTTAAGGATGAAATAAATGTTTTACTCAAAAAATAGATACATTCAAAATACATACTGTAAACTTATGTGAACCATTTAAAACAAAAGAATAACTTTAGAACTATTACAAAACTGTGCCACTTCATACAAAGGTTATTGATAGTTTCAAAAATACTGTCATTACTCACATTTGTATCCCAAGATATGCCATGCATAGATGTAAACACTATAACCTCTTGAATAAAACAGACAACATACTTGCTGGGGAAAATTCGAAAAAGAAATTTTTTTCTGAATCTACCAAGTCTTCAATATAAAAACAAAGCAATTAAAAATAGTACAATTTAAGTACTTAATTTCAATAAGGAATGAAGTTAAATAGTTGTACTTTATCTATTTAAAAGATACAAATGAGTTTTTTGGTATCTTAAAATTATTACCATTAGGTCACATAAACAGACTCATTAAGAGACCAGTGAAGTTACAATTCACTTAAAAGATATTTTTCACCTTAAAAGATATTTTTCTTAAAACCAACTGTTGTTAGACTGCTAAATGAGTATGAACTGACATTTGGAAATCTTAAAATGATGGATACGTGCATCCATCAAGCACTTTGAGAATTATTGTACAAATTTCACCATTAATTTGTAGTCTACAATTTGAAGAAAGTCTGTATTTAGAAATGTAATATACCTCTGAAACTTTCAAAGCTTGGATATTTTGACATACAACAGTGTTAAACTTACACATTCCTGTGAAGTATCCTTTGAGACTAAAATATGTTATAGTTCATGAATTTTTTAAAAAATATGCAAATGTATACCTAGAAAATGTGTTTTAGTATCCTACTTATAAATAATTCAATGATTCACTTATACATATATCTAATTTTAACTGTAATATGTCTAACTTGCAAAAAAATGTAAGATTTCTGATAAATACAAATTAATGTCCCAAGACAATTTTTCTTTTCTTGAGCGAAAAAACCCTCAAGAGTTGTAACGAAAACTTACAATGAGTCTTTCTGTGCCACAATAGACTCTGACTGAAAACTGCCCGAGCCGGCCGCTGCGGCGCCGCGCTGCGAACCGGCAGTGCGCACTCCGGGAGTCGCCCGAAAGATGCCAGCGGACGCCGAGCGCGCCCCGCCCTGCGGGCTGACGTCACTGCGCAGCCTCAGAAGGCGCCCGGATGTGCCGCACGTGCGGTGGGCGCCGTGACAGCCAGGCCCTAGCGCTCCGCAGCGGTGTGTCCGGCCCAGGCCTGCGTCGCGGAGGTGCGGACCCTCGACCTGGGTTTCCCGCGGCGGCAGTGGGCGGGGGTGGCCTGGGATGCCGGCGCCCTCCTGCAGGGTTGAGTCGTTGGGGGTCACGGTCTGTTCTGTAACTTTTTCCCTCTCCCTCTGGGTTCCTAAAACTTCTCTTAATGCTTTGGATTCTTAAGCACGCATCCTGTTATTCTAATGTAAACTTTTAGAAATACTTTTTTAAAAATACATTTGTTATCTGGCTGCTGCGCGGAGCGGGAAAGAAAAGTGAGAAGTGTGTTTTTGGACAACTCCGGGGGTGATTTAGACTTCAAACCTTCACTCCTCTTTGTAAAGGATAGGGGTCCTCAGAGGATAGTATTTTATTTCCTGGTGATGTAACTACCAAACAGTTCTTCTAGTGATGATGGGAAGGCCAGATGAAATCTTTTTTTTTTTTTTCCTGTTTTTACCGAAAGAATCTCTTCGTTCTTCATTTCTTTCTGCATGCTTGTGCTTTAAGGAAAGCAGTTAAAACTAATCAGATTAGTTGGCAGGGACGTATTTCTAAAGAAAATTATATTTTGTGCTGTACTTGCAAGGCAAATAATGAAAATAGCACTTTAGGACCAGTTTTAATCTACTTGTTCTTTTCTATCAGCAAACAAAATAATGCAAAATAAAGACAGAAGCTGAAACTGGCCAAGGGTTAGTAAATTAAACGCATTACCCTCTAGTGTGGGACAGATTTACTTATAAATGCCATTTCTGGTAAATGAGAATTAGCCTTTTAATTATGTTGAACATAAAAGATGCAATCTTGAAAGCCCAACTATATGAATCTGCTAAATAAGTTAGGGACGTGGCAGTCTTATTTGCAAGCTTCAAATGAATTGAATAGTTTTAGTAGCTTGAGTATATTTAAAATTTCTTTTTAAATTACATTAAAATAGGATCGCTTCCTATTATGATGTACATATGTCTGGAATTATTGTTCCCATATGTTTTGGCTAACAGGAATAATGAAAATAGTCTGCTTGTTTCATTTTCTTAGTGTGGGGTGAGAAAGAATAGTTACTGGGCTAAATAGTTAGTGGAATTGATGTGAAGTAAAGATGGCAGGACACAAAAATAAGCATGTGTCCTGTTGGCTAACCCAGTGGCCCAATTTGCCAGTTCATCTAGAATCCTACTGAGAAACCGAAGGTTACTGCTGCTTAAACAGAGGTGGATGACTGTCCTGCTAAATTGAAACTGTAACACTTGATTTGCAGTTTTTGTTTTAGCATTTTAGATGTTGGTTTGCTGATTTTACTACTCTGTCTTAATGTTGTGAAATACAGTGATCTTTTTGGTTTTCTATGGTTTCCTCGTACTTATTAAATACAACTTTCAGGACTTCTGTGCTAGATTTTTTAGACTCCAAATGAGATAAAATGACTTGGGGAAGTTGTGTGAAGGCAGCGGGACCTCAGACCCAAAAATGAGAATAAAGTACCTTTACCCTAAAGCTACCATTTCTGTAGCTTGTGTTGCCTCTTTTCCCCTTTCTTGGTGACAAAGACTCTTGATAAACTCTTACCCTACCATTTATTTCTTTTTCACATTTTGTATTTATGTTCATTCTTTTGGCTTCCTAGTTTCCTTGTGAAATATTATTATGTCCATATCATCCCCCTGCACATTCCCCCCCTTTTTAGCTGTATTCTGAAAGTAGAGAAATTGAATAGCTATAAGACTGATCCAAGGTTTTGGAAGCCGGGAGAAAGAGTGCTGGGGCTACAATCTCTTATTTTGCCTTGCTTGGTCCCCTGTTGCTCCCATAAACTGGTCTCTGACCTCGCTGTGGCTCAGCTTTCCAACTAAGGTTATGTGACCACTTTCTTCAGTAGCCAATAATAAGCTTCATTTATTGAACATGTAGATCCTGCTCAGTGACCGTGCTCATCCCTTAATTTTCACAATACATTTCAAGGTGCTGTTGCCCATGCTTTTCAGATGAAGACACACTTTAGGGAGGATGAAATGGCTTGAACAGGGTTGTACTCAGAGTAAGATGCAAGTGTTTAATACAGCCTTGAACTTAGCTTCTCAGAAAAATTTGCTCAGAATCTCTAAGAGGTGTTTTTGGTAAAGGAATATTCTGATATAAGTGAGAAGTTTCTTTCTTTCTTTCTTTTTTTTTTTCATTTTTATCAGTACCGGGGATCGAACTCACCCGCCTGCTTGCAAGGCAGGTGCTTATACCACTGAGCTAAACCCCCATCCCCGAGAAGTTTCAAGTTTCAATACTTATTTTCTAAATTAAATGTTGAACTAGGAAAACATATGTTTACCCTATTTTTCAGGTTGCTCACCGTATCCACCTGCTTATTCAATGACTAATTCTAGGGCATGTCATTCAAATGGGAGACATGAATTTCTGTAGTTGCTTAGACAATTTTCCAGGAGGTAGCAACAGTGTATCTTGCTCTAATAAAATTAGAGCATCTTATTTTTTATAAAATTAAAGTACTATTTTCTACAGATCAGAGTCAAGGGTTTTTGAGAAAGGATTCATGTGCCCCTTGCATTGTGCTCCATTGGTAACGAGTTGATGAATGGGCTTTTTTTTTTTCCATCTTCCTATGAAAATTCTTTGGAGATGTAATTTTTGTTCTTTTAGCTTGTGACTATATTTACTACAAATTAGTAAAGTTATGACTCAAGAGTGCCTGACAAAATTTTATTTCCTAGTGTAGTTCCATCCAATTACTACAGATTCCTTTTTCATTCATGATCAGAAATTTCCTACAAGTAATCATACACACAAATTAAGGTGCCTTCTATAATTAGTGATCTAAATTTTTGGTCTAAATTAGCAGCTTTAAGGTGATATTTAGACATAGAAAAAGAAATTTTTCTGTATATCTAATTATTTTCAGATATGGGAAAAGAAGTTTGTAGGTGACAAGGCTGAACAACCAGGATGTATCAACTGTATTTAGCCTTAGGAAATAATTTTCTAGATAGGCAAAACCACTAAATATCAGCACATTCCAATGGTTTCAAGCTAATGGAGGAGGTTATTTCCATGGCCACACCAGTTGTTATTAATAGTCAGTACTAATCATAACAACAGTGCCATTATTTAATTGGTTTAAAATAAAAATGTGCTGCTAAGCATGTTAAACCCAGCTCACTCTTTGAAATAAATGCTGATTCTCTATGGCCCCTCTCCTGGCTTTGTTTCTTTTTTGTCATCCCAATAAGGGCCTGAGACACAGTAATTAACCGAATCCTTAGTTTTCACTGCCCGGTTCTTTCCTTGGTCAAAGGGTAGTGTGTTCTGCTCCCTAGGAGTTGTGCTTCACGTTCTGAAATGATAAGATTATTTTTGAATGTGACACATTTGCTCCATGTCTCTGAAATAATGCATATTGACAGAGTATACAGTTGCCCCCCAAGTATGGTTTCAGAATATTATAAAGTGGAAGCACTTCATAAGTTTTAAATCTTGTAGTACGTTGTTGTAATTGTTCTCTTATTATTATATCATTGCTATGCCTAATTTATTATGAAAATTCATCATAGATGTGATGTTTAGGAAGAAAAGTTTATGTAAGGGTCAGTCTTGTACCATTACCCCTTGCAGATAAAGGATTACCATATGAACAGAGGAAAACAGCAGTTCTTACTATGTTTGGGCTCCTGTGAGGTAATCTGGCCGGGATGGAAACCAATGCTGGAGGGCATGCTGAAAGGCAGTGCTCCACAGTCCTGCCTTGCTTTATGCTACTATTGGACTGACTGACATATGACCTTCTAGTGCTAAGGTGTGCTGCCCACAGCTCCTCCTCAACCTCACTGACAGCTTCCTTGCAGAGCAGCTTTGCTTCTAAGCACCAAGTAACTGTGGTGGATCCTGTGCTGGCGGGAGGAATGGCTACGGAACTAAGTGCCTAGAGGAGTCTGTGGTTCCAGGCCCCTATAAATGTTCTATTTTCAGCAGCTTTTTAGTACCAGGAATTGAACTCAAGATCTTGCACTTGCCAGGCAGTTGCTTAAGCCGCTGAGCTATGTATCCCTGGTGCTCAAGGACTCCTTGTACTTGAGCTGATTTTGATTCTAAGACAACAGCCTATACTCTCGCATCAAGTCAGACTGATAACAGCAACAGTATCAATGGTGAGATTAAGGATAGGAAGTCCTTTATTAACATTAAAGTGAATGATTGTTTTAAAAAACAATTTGAAATAGTTCATTTCTGTTTTCATTTTAAAAATAATAGATATCCTAATTTGGAAATGCAGAAAAAAAATCTTATACATAGTCCCTGTGTGAATAGAGCCAACTATTAAGTTTGATGTACTATATTTCCTTTCAGTCTTCTAAGCATTTATAAAGCATAATGGTTTTTGTAGTGTACTGTGTGTCCATTTGTGTATGTAAGAATATATTATGTTTTTGTACTTCTTTTATATATATTTTAATAATATTAGTTGCTTTTCTGTAGATGGTGGGTTCTTTAAAAGCACATATATTCTCCCTTGAGATGGTGGTCACAAAGCCAGTCACTCTCTGCCCCTTATTATTACTATGGCTTTATTCTTTATTAAGTAAAATAAGAGAATCTGTACTTAGTGGAATCTTGTGTTGACCAGACACCTATTGGTCTTGATTTACGTGGGATGCTATGAGTCCACTATGGGACCCCAGTGAGCAAGCATGCCAACCTAGGGACAATGGAGAGTCGATAATATAACACCACCATTACTTGGGAAGCAGGAAAAGCCTGTTATTTAGGCCCAGTCTATTTGCTTATTTATTCTTGCATTTTTTTTTGCATTTCCCTGATAACTAGTAATAGTTTTTGAAAAATTGTTGCATTCACAAGTATTACTGCAAGAGTGAAAAAAA